GACAAGAGATGATAGAAACTATAGATCATATAATGCTTTTTTGTCCTAAGTGGAATAAGGAAAGAGAGAGATACATCATTCCCGTTATGAGAAAAGAAAAGCTTCCCCTCCTTCCTTGGGTAGTTTCAGTGCTATTGTCTGATAACTTCCCTGACAATCAAACCACGACTATAGTGGCTTCCTTTCTAGCTGCGGTGATTAAGAAAACAAATCTCCCTGAGTTTAACTAGTTTACTGCTGATAACTGTCGACCTTTTAAGTGTGTGTTGTTGTTGTTTTTTAATTTATTTTATTTTACCCTGTACAGTTGCTATGGCTTTTTTGCTAATGCAATAAATATTATTATTATTATACTATGACTCCAAGATCTCTCTCTAGGTCAGTCTCCGCCAGTTCAGACCCCATCAATGTGTATTTATATTTAGGATTTTTGGCTCCAATGTGCATCACTTTGCACTTGGCCACATTGAACCCCATTTGCCACGTTGCCACCCACTAGCAAATCCTCGACAGATCCCTTTGGAGTGCCTCACAATCCTCCCTTGTTCTCACCACCCTGAACAATTTCATGTCATCTGCAAATTTAGCCACTTCACTGCTTACTCTCAACTCCAAATCATTAATGAACAAGTTAAAAAGCATCGGCCTGAGTACTGATCCCTGTGGTACCACACTGCTTACCACCCTCCACTGTGAAAATTGCCCATTTATACTCACTCTCTGTTTCCTATTAATCAGCCAGTTTTTGATCCACAAAAGGACTTGTCCTTTTATCTCATGACTATTGCGCTTGCTTAGGAGCCTTTGATGAGGAACTTTATCAAAAGCTTTCTGGAAGTCAAGGTAAATATCATCTATTAGGTCCCCCTTGTCCACATGTTTGTTCACTCCCAGAAAGATCACTAAATTAGTGAGACAAGATCTTCCCTTACAGAACCCATGCTGAGTCTGCCTCAATAGGTTTTGTTCATCAATGTCCCTACTAATTCTTTCCTTAATAACAGTTTCCACCAATTTACCTGGTATTGACATCAGACTGACTGGCCTGTAATTTCCCAGATCTCCTCTGGAACCCTTTTTAAAGATGGGAGTGACATTAGCTACCTTCCAATCCTCAGGCCTGGAAGCAGATTTTAATTAAAGATTAGAGTTTTTTGTCAGGAGATCCACAAGTTCACATTTGAGTTCTTTCAGAACTCTCGGATGTATGCCATCCGGACCTGGTGATCTATCCATTTTTAAGTTGTCTATCAGTCGTAGGACCTCCTCTCTCATCACCTCAATCTGATTCAGGTCTTTCAACACCCCTCCCAAAATCAGCAGTTCTGGAGTGGGCAAGCACTTCTCATCTTCCACAGTGAAGACAGAGGCAAAAAAGACATTCAGCTTCTCAGCCATTTCCCTATCATCCTTCAGTACTCCTTTTAGACCTTGGGTCATCCAAGGGCCCCACTGCCTCCCTAGCTGGTTTCCTGCTTCTTATTTGCACTTTTTATGTAATGATCTCTATGCTTCCTTCAATGGAAAGGATTATTGATTTCAACTTCATAAGGCAGTTTGATGCTGGCTCCATGAATCTGCTATGCTCAGGTATTGTGTTTAACTCAGCATCCTGAGCTGTCTGCACAGGGGTCTGCAAAATATTGCCAGGAGGATAGGAAGAACTACTTATAATGATTTGGTCATGACCAGAGCATTGCTCTTCTTTATTCCTAAAGGCAATTTAGGAATTTATCCAGTCTGAGGATATGAACAGGATTCTTGGAAGTTTAAGACCTAACACCGACTTGAATAACCCTTGGCCTTCTGGCTGCTTAAATCTGCTGGAGGATGCTGGCAGACTGGGTCTGTGAGAGACAGTAAATGCCTCCCTAAGAGGGGGTGGTCACCCCTGCCTTGAAGCAAGCAGTGGTGCACCCACTCCTTAAGAAACCTATTCTGAACCCAGGAGAACTGAATAACTACTGTCCAGTCTCAAATGTACCATTCTTGAGCAAGGTGATTGAATGAGCAGTGGCTGGACAACTTCAGAGATTCCTGAATGGAATGGATTGTTTGGATCCATTCCAGTCTGGTTTCAGGCCTGGTTATGGGACAGAAACAGTCTTGGTTGCCTGACCTGGGATGACCTGCACTGGGAAATGGACAGGGAAACTGTGACCCTATTAATTCCCCTGGACCTCTCATCGGCTTTTGATACCATCAGTCATAGGATCCTTAAAATTGGTACAACTTCATTTTTAGTCAAAAATATTGCTGTTCTGCTTCAAGAAGGAGCTACGTTTCTTTATGTATTTATGTTGTATTGCAGGAAGCTTGCTAGATTTCTTAAAGGATGGAGAAGGAAGAGCCCTGAAATTGCCAAACTTGGTGGACATGGCAGCACAGGTAAACCCTGAGTATATGATTAGTTATATGTATCAATGTCAAATTTCTGGGTTTTTTTCAATAAGGTGAGTGCATTGTGTATTATGCATCTAACAGGTTGCTGCAGGGATGGCTTATATTGAACGAATGAATTATATACACAGAGATCTACGATCTGCAAACATCCTGGTGGGAAATAGTCTAATATGCAAGATTGCTGATTTTGGATTAGCAAGATTAATTGAAGACAATGAGTACACAGCCAGACAAGGTAGGATCAGCACACAGCATAACCTTGACGGCCCTTTCGGAAATGGTTGACAGACAAGATATAATCTTGATGATTTTCTATGTGCTTAGAAATCTAGTGAAAATGGAATGTAAATCACTATTTGATTTATGAGTACAGTTAGAGAATAGCAAGGTTATTTATCAGTTCAATGAGATAAGAGATGTATGTGTCATTAGTTTGATCTATGATCCCTCTTGCTGATTTGGACTAGCAGACTTCAGTCAGAAAGATCATTTCTGAGACATGTGTACTTGTTCAGATACCAGAAGTTGAAGGTCAGGAGAGGCACAAAGAATAACGACTTATAGATTAGCAATTAATATAATTTCTTGATTAGAAAGAAAGGGAAAGTGTCATCAGGGCTGCCAAGAGCCACCCAGAACCATCTTATGTATAAAATAAGAATAAAATAAGACGCTTGCTTGATCATACCAGAGATGTCTCCAGGCAGTAACTCATTTCCCACACTGGTCAGCAAGATGCTTCTGGGAAGCCCACCAGTAGGGAATAAATGCAACAGCTATTGCACACAGTTGTATCCAAAATTGGCATTGAAGCGTATACTGTCTCTGAACATGGAGTTTCTATTTGGCCGTCATAGCTCATAGCTACTCACAGACCTGTCCACTTCCATGAATCTGTCTAATTGTCTTCTAAACCAATGGATGTCACCTCTTATACTAGTTTATTCAATAAACTGATAATGCAGCATGTCATATAGTACTTCCTTTTGGCTATCCTGAACCTACTGCCGATCAAATACACTACGGATAAACTCTGGCACTGAGACAGAAAAAAATATGTCACTTTAATTTTCCTCACATCATTCAGTAGTTTATAAGCCTCTACATTTATAGAGCTTATACGTCTATATGTGTGTGTAAAGTGTTATCAAGCTACAGCCGACTCATGGTGACCACTGCAGGGGGCTTTCAGGGCAAGTGAGAAGCAGAGGTGGTTTGCCATTGCCTTCCTCTACAGAGTCTTCCTTGGCGGTCTCTTTTCCAAGTACCGACCTTGCTTATCTTCTGAGATCTGACAAGATTGGGCTATACCATGTCACCTTCCTTCCATATATCTATATAAGCCTTCACAATTGTGTCGAAGAAGAATGGTAGGCTTTCCTAACCTCTTTCCAGCCAAGTTATTCCTGCAAAAAATGCCTTCCTATTTTATTCATTAAAAATTCTGAAAACTCTCCGGTTCTCTTTGTATCAGACCCTGGGGATTCCCTATATCATATATTGGGTTTCCACAGCCTATGCCTCTTAGTATTTTTCTCTACAGCTATGTGTTTAATTTTGTAATTTTTATTTACAAACACACACACACATAGGATACACTTTTTACATCTGATGAAGTGGGTGCCAGTGGAAGCTTAATGACTACCACAGCAAAACTGTATTTATAAAAGGCCAAATATCAGACATCCAATCAGTAGAAGAAGAAGAAGAATACGACCCATACTTGAACAGTGTTTAATATGTCATTAAATAACTTCTAGTTATTTGGAAGCAGGAGTATTTCTAACTTCTAACCACAATCACAGATTTCATATGTGCTTTAACTAAATCTAAACAAGATTTATTTTAAAATCACAAACACAAATTATTGTCACACATTTAAGCTAGAATATGATTTGCCTTGGTTGATATAAATTGAAACTAAGGCATTCATACCATTCCACATTTATAACCATTAAAACAGAGTAATACAGATCACAGGGTAAAGTATGGGTGGTATCACTACTTTGATAGATTTTTGGGAAGCATTAACTTGATGCACACCCTTTCTGTTAAGATTAGAAGTTTTCTGTTCTACTATTGTATACTTTAACTGCCCCAGCCAGGGTAGGAAAGCAGAAGAATTAGACTGGAAAACAAAAGAATTAGAAGTGGAGGAAGAGAGAAAATAAGGCAAACCGGGTTGGTTGATGGGCTTCACAACATCTCACATTTGCCTTAGCTGCATTGTAATTTGTAACCACGGACAGATTTCTTTAAAAAATGCTGCTAACAAAGGCACAGCAAATAGTACCCTGGCAGTCAGAGCTTCTGCCTACTTTACCCTGCCTTCCCTGTGCTCCTGGTGGCTGCAGTGCAGAAGTGCACTAAAATGAAAATAAATTGAAATGCATTGGCTGAATGGAGCATGATTACAGCTTCACAGGTCCTCAAGACAATTTGTGCCCCCAGAATTTTGTACCCCAGTCCCCCTCTATCAGCGGCTCTGAATGTCAGTCCTCTTCTAAGGCCTGGAGAACAGTATGGCACGGGATTTATCCTCTGGTTAATACATCTGAGATGAACAGAGCTGCCAGCCTTGTCCCCAGCTTGCCGTCCACCCAGTGGTTAGAAAGCTTTGGCGAGTAGATAAAATGGGTACCACTCCTTAGAGAGGGTGGGCACACGAAACCCCCCGGTGGGGGAGGTGTTAGCCGACGAACGGAATGTCCAGCGCGTAAGACCGAAAAGCCTAGAAAGAACTCTCCGGCATCAAGGAAGTCTGTAATGGGCCGTCCGGCCAGGCGGTGGCAGTGCTGCACTGCAACTTGAAGCAGTCCAGAGAAAGCTGGCGACATCAAGCCACGCCGAGGGAAAAATGCCGTTGGAACACGTCTGACCTTACAGCTGAGCAAACTCCCAGTCAGCTGCGAACGTGTGTGATTTAAAGATTATATGTTGTCCTCCCTTACTCCTTGAATCATTGTCAGTCCCGTGTGTATTTGAGTAACTGTAAATCGCTCAGAGCCAGCAAGCTCTGCAGGATTGAGTGATTAATAAATTGAAAGATTTATTTATTTATTCCCAGTCCTAAGGGTTTAAAGCCCTTAGGATGACAATGAGAGTCCTAAATAAAAGGCTCTCCATCACTGCAGGGAAAAGCAACTAATACCCCCCCCCCCCCCCGAACATGATACATCAGTTCAGAATGGCAACAATTGTGAATAGTGCTGTGCAAAAATTAAATACCATTTTTCCTTGATTTTAAGTACATTTTAGAAAATCCAAGAGCTGGTCAGACCATGCATTATAACATATTGATACAAGCAATCAGACTACGGACTGCTGTAGCCAGCATAGGTTGTCATATGGTCACTGCACCATAGATTGTCATATAGATCAGGTTGTTGTATGGTCACTGCAGTTATTGCAAGAGCAAGAGAATAAATTTATCATAGAGTTCGTTTTCCATTACTTTATGTGTGAGAATATTTTATTTTGGAATATTTGCTATTATATGACCCATATTCCACAAGTCACAAATTGAACTACTCTTTAAAGGCATTAAATGGTGCTAAAACAATGAGAGAATCAATGAGAGTCAAAAGAGACTCAGACATTGCAAGGAAAATCAATGTTTTTTTAAAAAAATATCTCATACACCAGTTAAAAATAGTAACAGTTATCTTCAGTGAGAATAAAATACATGTAAGAAAAGCATTACTAATATCAGTACTGTTGTCCAGGACTTAGACGAGCAGATACAGACTTTTAAAGTACTATTTATTTATTGTATGGCAGAGTTACACACAGGAAGCATATAATAATATAAAACCAAGTTGATACAACAGATATGCAGACTGATTGGGCAATCCCTCTAAATACTAATATCAGCATTTTCAATCTACCCAATTGCCGCTGGGGAGAGTGCAAAGAGCTTCATCACATCTCCCTGGAAAGCACGACACTCACATTTCTGGGACAGATGTAAAATAGTTTGGCGGGCTGCACCACAATTGCATTTGGGTCCTGGTATTTTTCCCCATTTAAACAACAGGTCTGCACAACTGCCAAAGCCTGTTTGTACTCTGTTACCACCTTCCATACTTTATGTGGCAAGTCAAATCCTGCGGGCCTCTCGTTGGTGTTTATCACGTTATGGATATTGGGTGGAACAGATTACATCCATGTTTGCAACCATTCATTCCCTGATCAAAATGTTATGATTGCAGGATTTGTGCAAATCTTATTGCTAGGTGTCAGGATCTTAGTTTGGATAAACATGCATCAGCCATGTCTTTATGGATGGGCAACTCTGTTTTCAATAAAATTTCTATATTTACAAAGAAGAGCATCTTGTCTTCGGAGATGTGGGGGAGCGATGTGGCACAACGTGGGTAGCCAATAAGCCAGAGTGGGTTTAATATATCCACTGATGGTTCTTATTGTTGTATTGAATTGGACATCAAGTTTGTGGATGTGGGGGCTGTTGAGCCACACTGAAGCACCATATTCTGCAGTACTATGCACCATCCTCAAAGCTGAGTTTCAGCTGATTTAAATGTAAGAGACAAAAGTATTTGTGGCAATGAAAATGCAGACTAAAAATGTATTAACTCTAATCTTGATCATTCGGTATTACAAATATCACCTCTTTTTGCTTTCAATTTTTGAAATTCTAAATTACTTTTATAAAACACTTGGGATAACCAATTATACAAACACTAGGAGTAAAGATTGTTGTGGGAAGAAGTAAAAGAGGCTCCAGGTGAGAATCCCAGCTGTGGCTTGTGGGGCAGTGGAGGGAAGGGGAAAATAGAGGTGAGCCACGATTAGTTCCTTCTGTTTAGCTATAAGGCAGGACAGTCTCAAGTCATTTTGCTGTCCCAAGTGGATAGTATTTTATTATTTATTAAATTGGATTTGCTAGGCCACTCTTCCCTACAAATAGGGCTCAGGGCAGCTTACAACAGAGTCATAATAATTAAACAACATTAAAACCATTAAAAACAGATCAATAAATAGAAACAGAATACGTATACCGGATGGCAGAAAAATTGGCTCCCCTAGCCTGTTTGGGGGGAGGGGTGGCGAGGGATGGGGAAGTGTATGAGAGTGCCAGATGTCCTCTGCCATTGCTGTCCTCAATCAAATGCCTGGTGGAACATCTCTTGGATGGTGGAACATGCCCTGCGGAAAGGTAATAACTCCCACAAGGCACGTATGTCTTTCAGAAGAGAGTTCCACCAGGTTGGGGCCAGGGCCAAAAAAGAACTGACCCTGGTTGAGGACAGCCAGATTTCTCTCAGGCCGGGGACCACCAGGAAGTTCTTGTTTCCTGAGCGCAGCACTCCTCCAGGGGCATACTGGGAGAGGCAGTTCTGAAGGTATGTAGGTCCCTGACTGTTAAGGGCCTTAAAGGTCAGAACCAAGACTGGCTCCACTGGAAGCCAGTGCAGTTTGCGCAGCACTGGTTGGATGTGTGCTGTCTGGGGGGTCCCAGTAAGGACCCACACCGCTGCATTCTGGATCAGTTGGAGCTTCCGAGTCAGGCGCAAGGGTATGCCCGCATAGAACGAGTTACAGTAGTCTATCCTGGATGTGACCGTTGCATAAATCACCATGGCTACGTCAGGGCGAGACAGGTAGGGAGTCAGTTGCCTAACCTGGTGCAGTTGGAGAAATACCAGCCTAGCAACCTTCGCAACCTGGGCCTCCCTAGGCAAGGAGGAGTCCAGAGTTACGCCTAGGCTCTTGACGGTCTGTGCCAGTGATAGAGGTACACCCTCAAGGTTTGGGAGTTGACAACCCAACCGAGACTCCCCCCCCCAAGCCATAGGACCTCCATCTTACCTGGATTCAGTTTCAGCCAACTCTGCTCTCACCATCTAACCACATCATCCAAACCACAGCTAGATTCCTGGGAACTGTAGTCAGCTGGCTGACCATCAACAGAAATAGCTGGGTGTCATCAGCATATTGATGACACCCCAGCCCAGAACTCCACACTAGCTGGGAATGGGGGCACATGTAGATGTTAAATAACAGCAGGGAGAGAAGTGCCCCCTGAGGAACCCTGCATCCTAGTGGGAACCTTGGGGACCCTGTCCCTATCAGCGCCATCTTCTGTCCCTGACCATGGAGGAATGAGGTAAACCATTGCAAGGCTACCCACGGACTCCAGCGTCAGAGGGGCAGTGGGTCAGCAGATCATGATCGACTGTGTCGAATGCTGCTGTTAGGTCGAGTAATATCAGCAGCACTGACCTGCCTCAATCCAGCTTTCTGTGGAGATCGTCTGTGAGGGTGACCAGTGCTGTCTCTGTCCCATAGCTGGGGCGGAAGCCAGATTGAAATGGATCATTATAAATTAGGCAGTACAGTGGTGGTTTTTTATGTAACACTCATAGAATGAAGGTCACCTATTTGTCACATGCCTCAATAGGTTTCTTGGTCCTCCACCAATCGCGGACTAGGGGGCGGGAGGAGGAGTGGCTATTTTCATTCGGGAGGCTTACTCCTTCAGGGTGCTCCCGGCGGTGGAGATTGTGGGCATAGAGTGTGTTGGCGTGATGCTGGAGGCTGAGGAGAGTTTGGCGATTTGGGTGGTGTACTGACCGCCTAGCGCACCGGCCAATAGCCTGCCATCCCTGCTGGAGGCCATATCAGGCTGGGCGTTGGAGCATCCTAGGCTGATCGTCTTGGGTGATTTCAACGTCCATGCTGAGGACGCGACCTCCAGCCAGGCTACGGACCTAGTGTCGTCCATGGTGGCACTGGGACACTCTCAACAAGTCACGGCCCCCACGCATTGGGCCGGTAACATGCTCAATCTGATCTTCGCAGCTGGGGTGAGGGTGGACCGGATTACTGCAATGGCAGTACCATGGTCGGACCACCAGGCCCTGAAGGCCCATCTGAATGCTCCACCCCGACCTTGCTTAGGCAGCGAGCGGATTTTTGCTCGCCCGCACTGCCAAATGGACCGTATGCGGCTCCAGATGGCGTTGCGGGATCCGAAGCCCCCTGGCAGCTCGTTGGATGAGCTAGTGGAGGATTGGCATGACCGGCTCTCCACAGCCATCGACAAGATCGCTCCCAGGCGTCCTCTCCGAACTCGTAGTAGGTGGGCGCCCTTGTATACTCAGGAGTTGCGCCAGCTGAAGCGAGAGCTGAGACAACTAGAGAGACGGTGGTGTCGCACTCACGACGAGGCCTCAAGAACATCCTATAGGACGTTTATGAGAACCTATGAGATGGCAGTCAAGGCCGCAAAGAGAGATTTCTATGCAACCAGGATTGCATCTGCTAGCTCACGCCCGGCACAATTATTTAGTACAATTCGGTCGTTGACAGCTCTGCCACAGGGCAGGCAAAATGTTAGGGAATTGGATATCGGCTTTGAGGCATTTGCGAGCTATTTTGCAGAGAAAGTCTTAGCGCTCCGCCGTGACCTCCCTGCCACATTTGATACAGTGAGCGAACTTGAGGCCCCTTGCACGCCTTTGGTGCTGGGTTTAGTGAGTTTTGGCCCACTTAGCCTGGAAGAAGTTGACAGATTGCTCGTATCTGTACGCCCAACCACATGCGATCTTGATCCGTGCCCCTCATGGCTCATTAAAACGGGCCGCGAGGGATTTCGAGGTGCCCTGTGGGAGATTGTCAACAAGTCCCTTTTGGAGGGATGGTTCCCCGGAACACTCAAGGAAGCGATGGTCCGCCCTCTCTTGAAAAAACCATCTTTTGACCCGTCCGAATTGGCCAACTATCGGCTGGTGTCCAATTTGCCCTATTTGGGCAAACTTATTGAGAGAGCGGTGGCGATACAACTGCAGAGCTTCCTGGATGATGCTTCGGTCCTCGATCCCTTCCAGTCCGGCTTCCGCCCTGGTCATGGGACAGAGACGGTACTGGTCGCTCTGACTGACGACCTCCATAGGCATCTGGATTGTGGCAGTGTGGTGGCACTGTTGTTGTTAGATCTGTCGGCCACATTCGATACGGTCAACCATCAGTTGCTAGCCCACCGCCTCGCCGATGTGGGGATTCAGGGGCTTGCCCTTCAATGGTTGGCCTCTTTTCTCCAAGGTCAGGGAGAAAGGGTGGTGATAGGGGATCAGCGGTCCCAGAGGTGGCTTCTCGAATATGGGGTACCTCAGGGGGCAGTACCATCCCCGATGTTGTTTAACA